TTATTTGTATTATGTCAGCATCTTTTCTTGAAAAGATAAAATGTAAAAGCATAAGAGCTCTCACAGCTATCTATACACACATCACAAAGCATGTTTCCACTATCAAGACTGGGACATCTCTAAAGAGTCCACCCATGTCCTGAGTCGTTACATTGCCAACCCAGCGCAAATATTTTGTAGCCCTGGTTAGGAGTTATGAAGTAATTACTTTGCTAAAACCCTGAAAAGTTTGCGTAAGATGTATGCAAGATTTAAATCTTAAAAGTTGTCAATCATGACTCTTCTTTTTTAAGAGATTCGAGATGAACAAAAATGGGTTGAATTTCTAATGTGTAACCAAATAAATCTGCTTTTCTCGTAAAAGCAAAACCAGTGGATCTGCAAGGTCTCAAAGTCGTACTATAAATTAACTTTTATCATGGCTAGTTTGCAGTACATTAAAGTTTGCAGTACATGAAATATATTCAACTTTCAAACCATTTACCCTAAATAGTGGGAACCAAACAAATGGGAAAAAAGAAGATAACTTGCAGACTTAAGGTAAGATCTTAAATAGTCTAATGAACATCTGACACAGCAATTTCAGACCCCTTTCAGATAACAAGAGGCTAAACACTATACAGTAGAACTATTAACTACAACATACACACTTAAAGGCTACTTCAATGTCGTCTTCCTATTCCAAAGTTTTCTGGTTCTCTGGATCTTTTTAACAAACAATGTGGTGAAAACTTGCTTGTCATGTCACAGTTTATAGGTGAAATTTATTCTTGCTTTGAAAGTTTTTTCAACATGCATTGGGTTGAAAAAATATAAAATTCTAGCTAGCAATGAAAACAAATAAATGAATTTTCGGTCAATCTCTGTAAAATCAAAGATATGACTATGAATGGATGTATTTACAGATTTACCTCAAATTTTGATTGGATAACTAAGCCTGGTTTAAAAGTTATTAGTTGAATAGGCTTACTCTTTATTTCAGTTTCCAAGCTCTAGTTGTATAAATATAATTATTGTAAAAGTGTTGTGTGTAAAGTGTAAGAACGTATATTTTCGATGTTGAATATTTTATTGTTGCGGAACCGTGGAGTAGGTTTACAGCGTGGGAGGTTTATACGAGGTTCTATAGCAACAGTCGAGGATATAGGGCCATACACGGATCATATAAGGACAATATAGGGACCATATAGGGACAATATAGGGACAATATTGGGACAATATAGGGACCATATAGGGAGAATATAGGGACAATATTGGGACAATATAGGGACCATATAGGGAGAACATAGGGCCATACACGGATCATATAGGACCATATAGGGAGAATATTGGGCCAATATAGGGACAATATAGGGACCATATAGGGATCATATAGGGACCATATGGGGACCATATAGGGACAATAAAGGGACAATATAGGGACAATATTGGGACCATAAAGGGACAATATAGGGACAATATAGGGACCATATAGGGATCATATAGGGACCATATAGGGACCATATAGGGTCAATAAAGGGACCATATAGGGACCATATAGGGACCATATAGGGACAATATAGGGACAATATAGGGAAAATATTGGGACCATATAGGGACAATATAGGAACAATATAGGGAAAATAAAGGGACAATATAGGGACCGTATAGGGACAATATAGGGACAATATAGGGACCATATAGGGACAATAAAGGGACAATATTGGGACAATATAGGGACCATATAGGGACAATAAAGGGACAATATTGGGACAATATTGGGACCATATAGACACAATATAGGGACAATATAGGGACAATAAAGGGACAATATAGGGACAATAAAGGGAAAATATATGGACAATATAGGGACCATATAGGGACAATATAGGGACAATATAGGGACCATATAGGGACCATATAGGGAGAATATAGGGAGAATATAGGGACCATATAGGGACCATATAGGGACCATATAGGGACATGTAGGGACCATATAGGGATCATACAGGGACCATACAGAAACCATATAGGAACCATATAGGGACCATAAAGGGACCATACAGGGACTATATAAGGACCATTAAGGGACTATATAGGGAACATATAGTGACCATTTAGGGACCATAAATGGACCATATAAGGATCATAAAAGGAACTATATAGGGACCAAAAAGGGACCATACAGGGACCATATAGCGACCATATATGGACTATATAAGGACCATATAGGGACCATAAAGGGACCATATATATAGTTATGACATAAAAAGAGACCATGGATAGTTGTTTTTTGACATAGAGGACCCATAGAAAGTTTTTATAGGACATAGAGGGACCATAGCAAGTTTTTAAAGGACATAGAGGAACCGTAGATAGTTTAATTACGACATAGAGGAACCATGACAGGTTTTAAAGGACATAGATATGGACCATAGATAGTTTTTATAGGACACAAAGGGACCAGATATAGTTTTTATATAGGACACAGAGGGACCATAGATATTTTATATAGGACAATAGAACAATAGAAACTAATACAGGACATTGAGCAACCACATACTCTATATACGGTATAGATGGACTGCATAGATATCTTATGTTATACATAAAAAGACCACAGATATCTTATCAAAGACATAAAGGTACCATAGATATCTTATCTAAGACATAAAGGTACCATAGATATCTGATCTGAGACATAAAAGGACCATAGATACCTTATCTAAGACATTAAGGGACCATAGATATCTTATCTAAGACATAAAGGTACCATAGCTATCTTATCTAAGACATAAAAGGACCATATATATCTTATCTAAGACATAAGGTACCATAGATATCTTATTTAAGACATAAAGGTACCATAGATATCTTATCTAAGACATAAAAGGACCATAGATATCTTATCTAAGACATAAAGACAGATTTCATAGTTTAAAATATCTAAGGTCTACGACATCGGGTTGCAGAGATATAAGGATTACAAAATTAGAGTTTCTGGCAAAAACTCATTTCCTTTCCACGGGAAGTTGTTACAAAAACGCTAGAATTAGGGGCAAATTTCCAATCGTCTTTGATTCGCTTTTTTATCTGATCCCAGAAAAAAATACTATTCCGACTTTGTGATGATAATTTGTAAATATTTATTATTATTTTTATTAGGCTAATAACTATTCAGGTTGCGACTATAACTACAATTCCGTTTACTTTGTTTGTTTCAACAATATAAAAATGTAGAAATGTTAAAATTATTAACTGATGACGATATAAAAACTGAATCTATATAGATTTTATAACAAATTAACCGTTTAGTTATTTAGTTATATAATGTACAGATGATAAAGCATTTTATTTTATAACTTTAACAATACTAAACATACGTTTGCATAAAGTTTTATACGTTCTTAAACTTTGAATTTTGTACCAAGTAGAGAATACAATTCTCCTTAGAAACATGCCAAAGGTAGTATGATCAATTTTGAAGGTTAAAATGGAAAAACGTGTCAAAATTTATGATTTGATTGGTGTTTTCTTCTGTTTATAGAGGGGGGGGGGGATGAATAGCGAGATGAAGTTGAACCCTGTACTTCCGGTTTTGCCAGATAAGCTAAAGAGAAGTGGTTCAATTTAGTCACAAGGGATTGTCTAAATGTCGTCTTCCTGTTTCACATTTTTATAGGTCCCACTGTATATATTGTTCTACATCCTTTCTACATTATTAACTTAACAACAAAATAAAATAAAAACAATTTTTGCAAACACGGTTTCTAAAGTGAGGTATACTTTTAGTTCACCCTGTTTTTAATCTGGCAAAATACCTTTATTAGTAAAATAATAATTAAGGTTTGATAGTTATTATATTTTCATGAAATGGGACTGTAAATGTGTTTAATTAAAATGATTGATAAATATCAAATGTTAAATCGAACATTTTTACAACATGTTTCATTTGAGGATTATTTAAAAGTTAAAATAATCACATAATCAAAACCATATTTACTCTCTTTCTGGTTATGATAAGATGATATTGATTTACCTACATCAGGTTGCAAAGTTTTCCAAATTACAAAATTAGAAAATTAGAAAGGAACGCAAAAGAAGAGAGAAATATAAGAAAAAAAGGAAAAAAAGAAAGTAAAGAAAGGATAAGAAAGTAAGAAAGAAAGTAAAGAAAGGATTAGAAAGAAAGTAAAGAAAGGATAAGAAAGGAAGAAAGAAAGTAAAGAAAGGATCAGAAAGGAAGAGAGGAAGGAACTAAACAGAGAAGAGATAGGAAGGGAATAAAATAAAGAAAGAAACGAAAGAGAGGAACAAAAGGAAGAAAGGAAAAAATGGAGGGAAATATAGGGAAGAAAAAAGGAAAGGAATAAAAAGAAGGAAAGATTAGAGAAAGGAAAACTACTAATTCTAAAGTAATAGAATGAAACTAATAAAAGAGGTTTAAGATAAGTTGAAAGATAGATAGAAAGTATGGATACTCAAAACTTTTAAGAAGAAGTGGAAAAGTTTGGAAAGAATTAATTAGGTCTAATTTGATGTAGTTTGAGAGATAGGGTTAGAGTAGATGGAATAAGTTACACCTGTCCTCACATTTAAACCAACTATATATCGTAGAAATAGATCGAGAAAGGAACCAAAGTTTTTATACAGATAAGAAACCTAGTTCTCGTAACGTAAAGAAAATATTACTTTATGATGTTTTTAGAAACTGTAGACGTAATTTCTAGTGATCTTCATGTGTGAAGCTTTACAATAATATATACCTCTAAACGATGATTGTTTGTTAAAGATTGAGCGCAATGTTCACTGTACACTGTACACTGTACATTCCCGGCGAATGACGTCTCAAGGCATGCATTTTTCAGCTAGAAAACTAAGGATATATCCGTCATCCTTGACCCAACAAAGGAGATAAGGGACTGTTGTCAATGTTGTAAATCTAGGGTAACTTAAAATTACGAATACAGTCCCATTAAAATCATATTTATTACGTATAAAATATTTATTATTTCAGAAAATGAGAGGAAAAATGAAGTATTTTAACTCGGTTGTTCCTCCATTGTTATAAACATTAAACAAATCAGCTGGTTTCAAGACTGATAGGAATAGTTAACATGCCGTTCAATCCAATGTTTGTGAGTAATAATGGCCCTGAGCTAACGGTTAGTCAGTGGATGAAAATTTTAGAACGCTAAGAACTGATTTAAATTGGTTCGAATGAGTTAAATATATGCTCTGCGCTTTAACTTTTTCTCGCATTAGAGAAATATTGAAATATGATGCCTGATTAATGCCAGATAAATTAAAAAAAAACTTAAAAAAGACGAATCTTATTTACAAAATTCAAAAGTTTTAATGAATCAATAGTTCTTACCTTATGATTATTTTATCAAAGATGTAAATTTAGAAATCTTTCGAAATGTAATTTGGAAAGGATTTAACATTAATTTAAGAAACATTTATAACCTAAAGCGTTGTTTAACTTTCTTTTTATTTAAATGCGTCGAAAGAAAGCAAGAGCTAATAATTTGTTTTTTTTTGTATTTTTGTCTATGAATTAGAAATATATTGTTTATAGGTGCCAAGTACAGCAGAGTACGATGGAGGGACAACAGTTACCAAAGAACAGGTTGGAAAAATTGAAGAAGAAAAAATATTTTTTTTTAGTCCAAATTTGTCCTTTTATTGGATCATTATAATATCAATTATTACGTCACTATTCTATCTTTAATCTGATTATTTACCGGTGTCATGCAATGGAGACACTACCCTGGGACCTGCGATGGTTCACCACCCCTTACAGGGGCGTACGAGAGCATTTGTGTAGGGGGGGGGGGGGGGAAATAAGAAACGCGAAAATTTTGCATAAACAATGCAAAAATTAATGGGGGGGAAAATGCGAAAAGGAATTGAGTCTTTGTCACAAACTCTGCTTTTCTAAATCCTTTATCTTTGGATTCCGATGTCGTGGACTTTAGATATTTCAAACTATGAATTCTGTTAGATCAAAAAATATAAGTTTGAAATATCAAAGATTTACGACATTGGATTCTTAAGATATAAGGATTATAAAATCAGAGTTTGTGGCAAAGACTCAATTCCTTTAGCAGAAAAAATACGGAAAAGAAATTATTAATCATGATACAATAAACTTCTAATGCTGAGCTCTCAGAGCAGAGAATTCTGCAAGTATTTTTGCGCAATTAATTGTTACAGCTATGGTTTTCGCGAAAAGTCTTTTCGCGAAATTTCGCATCTTTTACACATTTTTTTGCATAATTCATTTTCGCAAAAAAAAAGCTAAATTTCGTTTGCTGGAAACCCTATGCTGGACACAGCGCCAGAATTTTAAAATGATGAAAATTTTGATTGTTTGGTTTTTCAAACAAAATGTTATGGTTTAATTTCAAATAGAATATAACCGTTGGCGGTCTCCCCCTTTACCTTCAGATTATTTCTTATCTTTACCATTGGAATCACCATATAGCTTTAGTTTTTGATTTTACTTCGCTTTTTTGTTTGTTTTTGGATATTAAATCAAATAAGGATTTTTTTAACTTGGACCGGATTTAATGAATTGTGAGGGTTGAACTTGAAGATTTAAAATTATGAAATATCCTAGAATGGTTCTGTTTCAACCATGATTGATGAACCCAATATTTGCGACACGCAAAAAATTGAAGAGGATTTTGCCAATTTCTTCTAAAGACCTAAAATTGAAACTTGTGCTTTAAGTTCTAAAATGTAAACGTTTAGGGCTACAAAAAAGCATAAGTGAGTTAGAGCGGTAAAATCAAAGCCAAAGGCGGCGCGACACTTCAAAGTCGACCATGTTATAAATATCGTTGTAACTTTTCAGAGCAGGCTAAATCTACAGGGTGTCCCGATAAACACGGGAATTCAGTGACGAATTCGATATCGTCTTTTTAAATAATTCTTTGATTTAGTATAGTAATACCTACTGAGAAAGCTGTAATCTGTAAGATTTTCGTCTGCTATGTTTACAATTTGTTTGTACTTAGTAAAACAAGAAAATTACAGTACACAAACTGAGTAAACTTATCGGTCTTTATTGTTAATCTTGCGGAGACATAATAGACACATCTTTACAGTCTTTTATCGTTTTCATAAAATAAACTCTAGCAGACATAATATTATTATGGTTTTAAAAATTAGGTATTACAATTCTAATTCATAACAAAGACGATATCGAATTTATCACTGAATTCCCATGTTTATTGGGACACCCTGTATGTGTATTTTCAATTAGGGTTGTTCAAAATCCTAAACTTTGAATCAGTGATTCAGGATTTGAGCCAGTGAGCACTTAAAAGGTAGTTAAACCGGCAGTATGAGGTTCAGCAACCTCTCTCGAAATCAATTAAAGTCGGAGAGAAAATTGGGAATTTTGGACAACATTCTGATAAAATTGTTAATTTATAGTACTAAAATTACGTACTTAACACCTTAAATCGCAATTTATTTGTTTTCTAAGATGATGGCAAAGGTTAAAGAAGCAAATATGAAAAAAATGAAGAAGACGACAAAATCTAGATCTTTCTTGGAAAAACTGAAGGTAAAGTTTTTCATACTTTTTAGCTTACAAGCTAAAGTTCTCCAAGGGACTGTAAGTGTAATGTTTAAGCGACCCTCCATGCAAAGATGGCAATGCCTGATTCACAACCGTACCCTGTAAAGCTTTGTCTGAATAAGTATGAATTAGATATGAATGTTCATAATTTGAAAAAGGTGATAATTCTATATTAATTGTGGTTTTTCCATACAAGGTAACTTTCGCAATTCTTGTGCATACAGGAAGACATATAAAATTATCTGAATTAAATACTTTTAAGTCTACAGGGTTAACCGGAAATAGGAAGACGACTTTTAGAATTAAGTTTTTACAAAGATATTATTGATCAAAGGTGCCGTTGTGAATCGGACACTATCATCTATGCATGGAGGGTCACTTGAAATTACGCTTAAATTCCCTTTAAGGAGAATATTTATTTATTCTTTTTATAAAAAGAAAACTCTTGAGAAAATAAATTATTAGAAATTATATATTCTGTAAATATTCTGTTTCCTGGATACACAATACACATAGAAGATATGTCTGATAAAAATGTTTAATAATAGTTGAAAAAAGGTTGAGAATGCAATAAGACTAGGTTAGTGAACATTAGAGAAAATATTTTCATTATTTATTATTCTCTTCATTGAACATAATAAAGAAAAAGTGGTTGAGTAGAGTCCAGTTTTCACACTTAACCAAAGTTTGGTGATCATTTACCAAGACTTCCACGCTAGACTACAGTGATAACCAGAAAATTGTATGTTTACACTGCACAATTGCTGGGGCTCATGTTTATTTGACTATTGTAAGTCATGAATTGAGTTAAAAGTCGACTTCTTATTCCAGAATTTTCTGGTTCTTACTGTAAATGAACTAAAAAAAATTATACGTAATTTCAGTCCCTGCATAATTTTCTAAGCTACCGGTAAAAGTATATGCTTTATACCTACATAAAATGCACCAATTGATTAAATGTCGTCGTTTTATTCCAGATTTTTAAGGGTCCTACTGAACTACTTGACGACAACATCAAATAAAGGGTTACCCACTATGGATGAGACTGTAAAGACGACCCAAAACATTATAAATTTATAGCTTTATCTTTGGTTTCTTCATGCCGTGGAGTATATTGATCGTTTACTAAATGATTAAGAACAGAAATAAGCCAGTTTTGGCTTACATACAAGGAACCCTGAATGTGGGAAAACGGACTAAACAAAGTCCGTACAGTCGTCTCTGAAGTCTCATGTTTTGTGGGTAACCCTGTACACTGATTAAATCTCGTATTTTTAAATCCACAGTTTTGTGGGTCCTGGGTTCTACAGAACTACCTGACGAAATATAAGTTTATTATTCTTTTGTTCCCTGATCTTGTCACATCTCAAACTTTTAGAAACCTTCAAGTTTTTCATCCTTTCAACCCAATCTAACCTTTCAACGCAGAATGATTTCAGAAATTATATTTTTTCCTCTTTTTTTTAAACCATGATTTTAAAAAAGAAAGCTTTTTTATTTGTAACTAATTTTAAAACTTTTTTATATTTAGTATTTTCTGAGGGTGATCGATTTTTTACTTTTTTCAGAGTTGGTCCCCAATTATAACTTGAATGGCAGATGAGTTTTTGTCGAATTTTAGACTCAAAGGTCTGCATGCATGGATATTTACGATATTTCAAAAATCCATATTTGTCACTAGTAAATTTTTTTATAAAAGGTCGATATTGATATCAAAAGATGAATGAATATTGTCCATTTTTTGTTTCGAAACTTTTTAAATTGTTTGTTTAGGCAAAAAAATTTGTTTCGATGCTGATCTTTCAATAAATCCATATCCATGTTTATGAAGATTTATTTCGCTTGTATTAGTTAATTATTTTAAACATATAATAAAACCGGGTAGTGGTTGGCAATTATTACTTGCTTTAATATTCAAAACTAATCCTCTGCACAAAGAATATTAGAGGGGAGTAGAATAGTAAACAATCAGTCTGGACAACCATGTAACAAGTTCTATTCCATTCTTTGCAACCTAATAGTGTAAATCTTTGGTATTTTTAAATTTGATTAAAAACTCCAGGAAATTAGATACTTTGAAAGGCGATTACATCTGGTTGCAAAGATAAAGGAATATAAATTTTAGAGTTTGTTGCAAGTGTTTAGTTCCTTAATGCATTTTTTTAGTTTATGACGACATTTACATGTTCCTTGATCGCTATGTGCAGCTTCAGCGCTCTCATGTTCCTCGTTCCATTCATCGTAGATCCAGCTCTAGGTAGTTCCATTCATAGTATATCCAACTCTATGTAGTTCCATTCATTGTAGATCCAGTTCTAGGTAGTTCCATTCATTGTAGATCCAGCTCTAGGTAGTTCCATTCATAGTAGATCCAACTTTAGGTAGTTCCATTCATCGTAGATTATACTCTATGTAGTCTCATTCATAGTAGATCCAGCTGTAGGTAGTTCCATTCATAGTAGATCCAGCTGTAGGTAGTTCCATTCATAGTAGATCCAGCTCTAGGTAGTTCAATTGATAGTAGATCCAGCTGTAGGTAGTTCCATTCATTGTAGATCCGGCTCTAGGTAGTTCCATTCTTTGTAGATCCATCTATATGTTTAATTTTTGGTAGGTGGAATTTATTTTTGAATTTTAGTTCCATTGTTCCCATGTAACGTATTTTTCTAATCATGAAATGAAACTTGTTAACAAATGCAAAATTAACCCTCATTATACACCTGTATCTTAAATTGAATCAGTTTGAAGGTGTAATTATTGTTCAATTCATGAAATGTTGTATCATGAAAGAACTTATGATATAAATACAAAAAGTGCATTTCAATATTTGTTACCTATTACAGTTTTATTCAAGAAAATAACTTTTTGTAATTAGGAAATTAAATCGAAAATGTGACAATCGAAAAAAAATGTGTAAATGTTTCTCGTTAACGGTAATGGAATTGATTATTTGCCACAAACTTAAATGTTTAGTCTTTGCAACCTGATAAATCCAAATAGATTATCAAGTACAATATGTGTCAACAGAAATGGATCAATTATACACGACGTCACAAGTGTCAAATATAACAAGGAAAACGAAATTTTCTCACAGTATTTGACATGTTTTTCAAGATTGAATAAAAAAGTGTAAAAACAGAAAAATAAATAATACATAAAACTGCACCTTTTTCACTGTAAAATAAGCTCTTTATTCTAAAATTATCACTATTATTAATAATTTTGTCGGACACAATACTGAGTTGACACTTGTGATGTAAGAATACAGCTGTACTGAGAGTGTACAAAGACTACGTTGTCATCTATTGTACTTAACAATCTATTTGGATAAATCTAACAGAATTCTTAGTTTGAAATATCTAAGGTCTACATACTATTTTGGGTTGCAAAGATATAAGAATTAGAAAATCAAAGTTTGTGTCAACGAATCAGCTCATTTACCAATTCTTGTTTATTTATGAGTTAAAACATACAAATGCGGTAAATTTTCACCAATTCTTGTTTTTTTTTTATGGTAATTTTACCCTTTTAATTGTAAAGTTATACATGACGTAAATTATCATTACTTTAAATTTTATGAAACGTATTAAAAGTATGAACAATAAAATCGATTATTATTCATAATTAAGTTGGCATGCTGTGAACTTCAATTTGGTTGACACATTTATAACTAAACATTACTTTCCTGTCAATATGTTATTCAAACAACAGCTAAACAGCTAAACAGCTAAACAGCTAAACAGCTAAACATCTAAACATCTAAACAGCTAAACAGCTAAACAGCTAATCAGCTAATCAGCTAAGCAGCTAAACAGCTAAACAGCTAAACAGCTAATCAGCTAATCAGCTAAACAGCTAATCAGCTAAACAGCTAATCAGCTAATCAGCTAAACAGCTAAACAGCTAAACAGCTAAACACCTAAACAGCTAAGCAGCTAAGCAGCTAAACAGCTAAACAGACTAAAAAGCTAAACAGCTAATCAGCTAATCAGCTAAGCAGCTAAGCAGTTAAACAGCTAAACAGCTAAACAGCTAAACAACTGATGAACAGCAATCAATTATTTATCATTCAAAGTTCTGCAGAACCCAACATAATTTATTTGATATCAATCAATTAACTTTAAAATTTAGTTGTCTACGTCAGAAACCACTCTTTTCGTATTTTTTACAATTTTAAACGACTTGATTCAAATAAATAAAACAAATGTGCTTTCAAATTTCCTCAAGATATTTATAAGAAACTTTACCATAAAATTGCAGGATGAATTTTTTTTTATATTTCCATTGTAAAACTGAATTTCCCCAGAGAAACTAGCACCAAAGATAATACGCAAAGCGTCCCAAATTTCCAATTCAACATATAAATTTGACTTGTATGTTTATTGGTTTGTATCTAATAAGCGTCAAACAGCTAAACCGATTATGAAAACATTTTTTATGACAACTTGCATGACCCTAGAAAAGCTTTTTGGTGAAGGTTATAATTGAAAAATTGTGTCTTTAAAAAATGTCAGCTTTGAAAATTTACAAAGGAATTGAGTCTTTGCCACAAATCCCTTTCTAATACTTATATCTCTACAACAAGATGGCGTATATATAAACCTTTGATATTTCAAATTTGGATTATCTAATATAATAGAAGTCATAGTTTAAAATATCTAAGGTCTACGACATTGGGTTGAAAAGGAATTTAAAAATCAGAGTTTGTGGCAAAAGTACAGTTCCTTTCAACAGATAAATCCGCGAAAGTTTTATATAGAATGATGAACATATGGCGACTTAAAATCAGTGGTATAAATGGTTTCTGAAAAATGGGTCCGAAGTGCCTATATAGGCCGAGTTTATTATAAGTATTTACCAATAAAATATTCAATAAAAACAACTTATATATATTTACAACCCAAGGTCTAGATTTTAAGATTGATTGAATCAAATATCTAACATAAAACTACCTCAAAATATTCTCAAGCAATAAAATGTAAATTTCCAGATTGTGTATATTTCTAAATTTTGTATAAAAGTTTTACTTTATGCTCATCAAGTTTAGAATTTTCTAATCTTAAGTTTAACAACAGTTTAAGCTTCTTCGGTTAACTTTGATTTAAAATTTTGAGTGTGGTGAATTTTATCCTCAAAACTATTCTTTTTTATTAAAATAACTATTATTTCAACAAAATGTGAAAGTAATTTCAATTACATTTATAGAGTAGAATGTTGGATTTACAAGCTAATTCTTGAAAGCTCTAGCTGATTAACAATGAGTGAACTGTCCGTTTTTTCGAAATTAAATTATTTTATTTGGGGTCCTTTATAAAAGTGACTTGCGGATTTCTGCTTACAGAAACAAGAGGTAATATTTTCAGAATTAAACACTTTTCAAGTTATTAAAGTAACGGATTCTTCCGCATTTATGATCAGATAATGGTTTAAAAGGGTTCTTTTGTGAATTGGACCTACCCCTCATTAAATAGAAGTTTTGTCAGTTATTTTTAACTCTTAATTTTCAGCAACGTTGACAGCAGACTTTGTGGATCGTGCTGTGGAGTGTAGAGTTATCACAAGCAAACCAATTCTAGGTTAGAAGCATATTTAGACAAACATACAAAATAACAGCATATAATACAAAGTATACCGTTATCACAAGCAAACCAATTCTANACAGCATTTAAAACAAACAAGCAAAATAACAGCATATAAAACAAGCAAGCAAAATAATAGCATATAAAACAAACAAGCAAAATAACAGACAAACAAGCAAAAGAGCAGCATATAAAACAAACAAGCAAAAGAGCAGCATATAAAACAAACAAGCAAAAGAGCAGAATATAATACAAACAAGCAAAAGAGTAGCATATAATACAAGCAAATATAGCAGCATGTAATTCAAATACTCAAATTAATAAGTGTCCACATTGGATAAGAGACAGTAAGCATACAAAATTCACAATATCCACATTCCGATATCTGATTCACTATTTAGATTATTAAAGAGTGCAAAGAATTCGATTGTAATCGAAATAGTAAACCAAAAATCTGAACTTTAACGTGGATATCGTGAATTTTGTATGCTTAATATCTCTATCCAATGTGGACACTTATACATTGTAAAAGAACCATGTTACTTAGAAACCAATACAGCTGACAGAGAAACCTTTTTGTTCAGGGGCAAGCAACTGTTCTTGGTCTTCCTGTAGGGAGGGGTGTACCAGGTAATGTTTACAATTATATATCTATATATTTATTATTATATTTGTTTCTAGGGATATCTTCCAATGTCATCATATATTAGTAGAGTATTCTTTATCTCAGGAACAATTCACAAATAAATCTTCATTTTTCTCGGCTTTTTCATTTTTTTTACTTTCATCCTCCTGGCAACCAAGATTAAAGGGATTGTAGACGTAATTTCAAGGGACCCTTCATTTTCAAGTCTGGTGTGTCCGATTACAACGATACCCTTTACATCGTGTACTGACCAGCTTTGTTAAAGATATTGTCGTTTTAATTGCTCGAAAAGTATTTTTGTATCACAGAGATCTTGTCATTTTTAAGAGAGAAAACAATTGAAAAAAAAATTTTACCAGAAAAAAAAAATATTTTATTTATTCTTGATCAGCTAAAGCTTTAAAGGTACCATTGTGAATCAGACCAACGGAAAAACTAGTTTATATATGGAGGGTCACTTTAAAATTACAAAGATTGTTAGAATTCTGTCTCTCTGTAAACACATGAATTCTAAACTAAACATTATACAGGCATGCAACAACATGAAATTTTACTCAAGTTAATTACAATATAATAAGAGAAGAGGTTTTATAGTGTTAAAGGAACTGGACATGTAATTTCAATCAACTCTCCAATCATATCCGATTCACAGTGGTACCATAAAAGCTTCGTCCTAACAAGAATGCAAGAGATAAATTCCCTATTTTTACTAAAAAATTTATATTTTTAATCGTGGTTCGTACCAAAAGTAATTTGCGGATTTCTGCTTTAGAAACAATCGGGGAAATGATAAGAATTAAATCCTTTTCATGCTTGAAAAACGATGGTGTCTTTTGCGTTATCATTCAGACAAAGGTTATAGGGTACCAAAGTGAATCGGACATGTCGCACTTTAAATGGGTACAGGAGTTTTAAAATTAAGGTCCTTAAAAAAAATCAGCCAATTAGACCCAGCTAGGTAGATCAGAACTATATTTCGATGCTTATTTTAGATTCGATTCATAAGATAATAAATAAATTAAATATCAGGATGAAAAAATGTGTAAACATACATGGAAAGAGTTGTTTTATGAATATTGTTCTAAAGAAAATTTTCCAAGAATTTTAGAAAGTTCAGAACATAAAACAAATCTGCTGAAATTTCAAGCAATAATTTTCGTATCATAACTTTTACTTCTAACTTCATACATGCAATAAAGTTATGTTTAACGTTGCAAACTTTAATTAAAATGTAAAATTAATTGGTTTATGACTCTTACAAGTTCCGAACAAAAGGATTTTTTTTGAGTTACAAATAAAAAGTCGGGGACTCTCTATGCACAGATGTTTAAATTTAAAAACTGTTTATTTTCAATTGGAGTTTCTATAAAAGAGTGGCTTTTAAACCTCGGGAAACGACAATATCTTCCATATTATTGATCAGATAAAGGTTTACATAAAGGGTCAGTTGAAATTACGTTGACATTAGCGCCTCATCCAATCAGGGTTCAGTCATGTGTTTGTTGTCTATTCTGAACCAATAAAATAGTAACATCTATCTTTCTATCTATCTCATTATCCAATCAGAGTTACGAATCTTTCAACGGGCGCTATTAGTAAATGGAAATATTTACTTATACTAAAACTATGGTGTAAGTTGTCATACATTGCTTCCCAATCCCGTCACAGCCCTTACAGGAATATGGTTCACTTTACAATATGTCTAAAATATTCTTTTAAATCAAGTGTAAGTCTGTACAAGCTTAATATCTATCATAGATAAAAAATATTTCTCGTATCGGAAACCCTTTTTAAACCTTTTAATCGATGATAACGCAAAACAATTTTTAGAAACAAACTTTTTATTTTTAGAAATAAGATTTTCAATCCCGTTAGACCTGTCGGTTCAGACCTTTCTTAAATACAAATACACATACGTACACAGATAAACAAAATATATGTATTCAATATACAGCATCATATATGATATACATGATAAATGACTAGAGAAAGCTAGGGCGTTCATTTTTAAAGTTGATTTTCTTTAAGTTGTGCAAACTTTGATCCGTAATTCAAAACCTGTTGAAAAAAAAAATAAAAGACATTTTTACGTTAATATGTAGATAAAACATATTTAATCCAACAAAATATTATTTCATAGTAAATACGAAAATTTGGGTCCAAAGTTAAGGTTTCTAAACAGGACCACACAAGGAGGGTTTTAGGGCGCGGGAAGTAACATGTTTTTAATCGCTCATCAAAGATTTTATAAAATTTTACAAATCTCCCAATAAAAACAGAAAAAACTGCGTAATGTTGTCATAGAAAACAATATTTTAAAAGTAAAAAGATTATATTGTTATTTAGAGAACTCTTTGAAAATACTGATCGAAAGTCTGAACTTTATACATTCTATTTTCAATGTATATTTATAGATGACAAACTAACTGATTTGGCACAGATAGAAATTAGCTTATTTATCACGGTAAATTAGAGGTCCTGGTAACGGTAACTAATCTTCTATGTAAGCGTAATTTTAAGTGACCCTCAAAAGTGTGTTATTTTTATGTGAATTTTTCATTGTTTTTTATAAATAAGAATAAGTGATATTTGAAGATAAACCACTAGTAAAAATAAACAGTTTGTTTAAACAAAACATTGATATCTAATTCATATTTGATCAGACAAAACTTTTAAAGCCGTTACCGTACTGTTGTAAATCGGGCATTGCAATCTTTGACATTAAATAATTACGCTTCCAATCCCTTAATCTAGATTTTTTGTATTTTCTATCTTATGCTTTTTTGTTGGGGGATATGAATTCTAAAGATTTAAAGGGAGTGTTCGCGAAAAATGTAAGGGGGTATAGGCTTAATGCGATAAAAAAGCGCTTTGGATCGCTACTAATCTTACTTCTATCTGTTGGGTCTATAAGGAGAAAATTGTTAAAGACGTCTCATACCGAATAACTTAGCGCCCATTCAAATTGAGAAAATTGCAACATATGACTTAGACCGTAAAAAAATCAATTTAATTTCAAACAAATCATTCAGATATTACAACCTATAGTCATCGATTCTCTTTCGCCACATTTGTGTATAGTTTATATTTTATAATATTTTTTAATTAATTTGTTTTGAATTTGATTATTTCTCTTGTCGCTTGCGCAACTATCTAAGAATGCTGCGTACCACTCCCCTTTTTCGAAATCCGTTAAAACGTTTTCTAGAAAAATAAAATATTATAAAATATAAACTATATACAAATGTGGCGAAAGATAATCGATGACTATAGCTTGTAATATCTGAATGATTTGTTTGAAATTAAATTGATTTTTTACGGTCTAAGTTGTATGCTGCAATTTTCTGAATTTGTATGGGCGCTATGATATTCGGTATGAGACGACTTTAACAATTTTCTCCTTATAGACGCAACAGATAGAAGTAAGATTAGTAGCGATCAAAAGCGCTTTTTTATCGCATTAAGCCTATACTCCCTTTCATTTTCGCGAACACTCCCTTTAAGTGTTCAAGGTCTCCTACGCTGCGTTGACGGATTTTAAATGATCAAACTTGAACCGTAAATATTTCGATACAGAAAATAAATACTTTATTGTTGCTAGTCAAATACATAAAATATGTATAAGACCAAAGACTAAATACATAAACCTGATTTGTATAAAAATGACCAAACCGAGGAAGGTTTGTTGTTTTAAATTATTAATATATGGATATACATTTACAGTACAATCATATCAAACTCCACTAGACAGAAGGAGAAAGCCACAGTTATCAAAGGTTCGTCTTTGAGACCTCGTAGTTACCTAAGTTTAAAAAAAAACGCATAGGTTCGTCTTTGAGACCTCGTAGTTACCTAAGTTTTAAAATAACACATAGGTTCGTCTTTGGGACCTCAAAGTTCCCTAAGTTTTAAAATAACGCATAGATTCGACTTTGAGACCACGTGGTTACTTAAGTTTTAAAATAACGCACAGTTTCGCCTTTGAGACCTCATAGTTCCCTAAGTTTTAAAATAACGCATAGGTTAGACTTTGTGACCTCGTAGTTCCCTAAGTTTTAAAATAATGCAGAGAGTCGACTTTAAGACCTCATAGTTCCCTTTGTTTTAAAATAATGCATCTGAGAAAAACAAAGAAATTGAGTCCTTGCCAGAAACTCTGATTTTCTAATTTTTATTTCTTTAAAACCTTCGTAGACCTTTATTTCAACTATGAATTTGGTTCGATCAAATAATCTAAGTTTAAGAATATCAAAGGTTTACACCAACAGGTTACATAGATATAGGGATTAGACAATTTGAGTTTGCGGCAAAGACTCAATTCCTTTATTTGGTTACACATTATAAATTCAAAACATTTGTGTCTTTCTCAATGGCTCTACAAAACGAGGACTTATGAAAACATGTAAGATTTCAATGATATGTCATAATTTGCAAAAAAAAAATTTAGACATCTTTGCAGTTTTGCCAAGCTTAAAACTTTAGAACCAAGTTAAGGTGCCTCCTTTCCTAATTCTACAGTACACACATTAGATGTGTCAGCAACTCAATTCAACTTGTTGATTCACCTCCAAACACATATTTACAATGCATATTCTGTCAGAATGAAAAAATGGAGGGGGGGAGGGGACGATATTTTGCGAACTAAATTGCGAAATAAACGTCAAAACGGCTGAACCGATTGGGCCCAAATTTTGTGTGTGACCTCATGATCAAAACAAAAAAGTTAGACTTCAACAAAATTCGATTGTCATTAGATTTAAAAAATACACGAAATTTATTATGTAATCCGCGAACTTTTTTGGTAATTATTTTACTTGATGCATAAAAAGAAAAAAAGTTCACAATTGAAATAGAAGAAAGCCTTGTTTAATATGCTGTTGATTTTGTGGTAAATTGTTTCAGTATGGTTTTGGTTTAAAACAAATTATTCTCTGGTTAATTAGCTGACCAAGAAATGTGTGCTTTTTCTGAATTAATTAATCTTTTAAATTGATTAGGCAATTTTTTGCCAATGTACAATAATAGTTTTACTTACCTGATTCACAACGGTACCCTTTCAAACGTTTATTTAAGCAACACTTAGGATTATGTCTTTACAAAAAAGTGTTCAATTCTGATGTTTTCCTCATTCATACATTTTTCAGCTGAAAAATCCGGCAGTCACTTTTAAATTTAAGATAAATTACAATTTAAATGTTAAATTTTTTAAACTTCCACGAAGGTTTAGAGGGTACCGTAGTGAATCAATCATTACCTTCTTTTTTAAAAGCACAAGTAAAGAAAAGACCACAAATTAAGAAAATTAAAAACAGTCAAAGTCAAGATCTTGAAACAACAATAGTAGAAAACCATAATTGAGATTCACTTAAAATTATGTTGACAGTCCCTTTAAATTAATATTTTTTGTTTGAAATATCAAATATGAGTCGTATATTTCTTTAACATCTTTTTTCCTCATGCTTTTCAAGCGCTTATCTGGATTTCAAATATTTGAAAAGCTAAAAATGTTTAATATGTTTTATAGTTTTCTACTATTTTCTATACTTACATATTTGGCTCTTTTGTCTGTGTACGTCAAACGGCTGAACCGATCAGGCCCAAATTTGTTTTAGTAACTCAGTGAACCTATAGGGAAGGTTTACGGATGGTCAAAATCGAAATATTTTGCCTTGAAAAAATGTCGATTTTTTTAAAGATTACCGTAAAATAACATAAATAAAAGAATTTTAAAATATGCATTAATGAATTAAAAGCAATTATGTTTTCTTCTGTTCTTACTCATTAGTTCTCAAGAATACCAAAAGATGTCAAAGATAAAAAAGGTCAAAATAGTAAATATGAAAAATTTAGCTTTAAAATAGGATTGAAAGTAGCACTCACGTTGAAACTATGTCCAAAAAGCATTTCTAGTTATTTCCCCTTCAAGTGCTACTGTCGAGTAAATTCATTTCACACATTTAAAGAGCTGTTGCCAGATAAACAACGGTATAACCCCTAAAAATGTTTTAAACTTTGTTATTTTTCTTACAATACATTGCTAATTTTTAATTTGATCTAAATGATGACGAGTCTTGCGATTTATTCGACAGACACACAGAAAAAAAAATACATAATTCAACACGTTTAGAGATAGATATACGAAATAAAGGTGCAGAGCGGTGTGCCGTATTCATATACATGCGATTTATGTTTATTTTGGGTCAATTGAAATTCGGCTTTCACTCCCTTTAAATCACTGATTTTGGAAAAACATAGAAAAGAGATATTCAACAAATGAATTGTTGAATATTAGGAAGACTACACAATAATAAAAACGGAAAAAGAAAAAATAGGAGAAGGTCCCCCCAGCACCAAACAGGTTTGTATATAATCAGACACCAAACAGGTTCGTATATAATCAGACACCAAACAGGTTTATATAATCAGACACCAAACAGGTTTGTATATAATCAGACACCAAACAGGTTCGTATATAATCAGACACCAAACAGGTTCGTATATAATCAGACACCAAACAGGTTTGTATATAATCAGACACCAAACAGGTTCGTATATAATCAGACACCAAACAGGTTCGTATATAATCAGACACCAAACAGGTTCGTATATAATCAGACACCAAACAGTTTAGTATGTAATCAGACACCAAACAGGTTCGTATATAATCAGACACCAAACAGGTTCGTATATAATCAGACACCAAACAGGTTCGTATATAATCAGACACCAAACAGGTTCGTATATAATCAGACACCAAACACGTTCGTATATAATCAGACACCAAACAGGTTTGTATATAATCAGACACCAAACAGGTTCGTATATAATCAGACACCAAACAGTTTCGTATATAATCAGACACCAAACAGGTTCGCTTATAATCAGACACCAAACAGTTTAGTATGTACTCAGACATCAAACAGGTTAGTATGTAATTAGACACCAAACAGGTTCGTATATAATCAGACACCAAACAGGTTCGCTTATAATCAGACACCAAACAGTTTAGTATGTACTCAGACATCAAACAGGTTAGTATGTAATTAGACACCAAACAGGTTAGTATGTAAGTAGATACCAATCAGGTTCACTTATTATCAGACACCAAACAGGTGTGTTTATAATCAAACACCAAACAGATTCATATATAACCAAAAGGTAGGTTTTATATAATAACCAACAAAAATATTGAATATTTTTGAAGAAAAAAAAGCAGCAAATATATCTTAATCAGAATAAAAAACTTTAAAATAAGATTTCTTGGTTACTCCCTATAACATCTGTTTTATTTGCATTGATTAGCTTGGTTCATAAAGTACAATTTCAAATATACATTGTTGATGCTTCACTAATCAAACATAAAATAAACAAAGTGCGTGCGTACAACAATAGATGGTTTTACTATACATCCTCTCGCAATACCTCAAAATTACTATCTGCCTTTTTTCTTTAATATATTTAATCTATGTTAAATAGTCTAAAACTAGACATTGCAAATATAAAAGTTTCAAATGCTTTTATAACTTCTAGATGGCAGCACTGTTTGTAAACGTGAAGGGTTGTGGGTATCCCCCTGCAGTACAGTGCAAGGATTGGTTGAAGGAATATGGTAGAGTAGGAGGACTGTTCCCTTGTTATTATGCCAGGACAAATCAGAGCTTAGCTATTACACACATTGATCTTAAGGTATTATACAACCATTCAACAAAATAAACATTTTATTAAATAATTTCTGATATTAAATAAAAATATTTATTAAATTGAATTTTAGCCGAACATAGTGTATTCTTGAGGCGGTATAAAAGCGCAAAGTCTGGAACTGAATTCCAAAGTTTTCAGGCTGACCTACGTGACCTCCTGCTGTCGACTCTAGTTCCAATAGTAGCGTGTACTCTGTCTGGAATTATATTATGTATAATGCACACGAGGTACACTTATTTTTTTTCGAGGTCGTGGACAACAAAATGGCGGGCTCGAGAAATCCTTTTGTTTTTTTTGTTAGATAAATTCATACAGACGTGTTTATATAAGGTCATGAAGCTACACTAATAAATTGCTTATATTTTACTTTTCCTTGTGCTAATTTTTTAAATATGTCTTCGATCTTTGTTATCCAAAATCCACGAAATATAAATAATTATTTTAAAAAGTTATAAATGAAAAGTTACTTACATTCGAACGACCCCAATAAAATTCATAATATATGTAATTGTAATGTTTAAAGAATCAGTTAAAAAAGTGATATAATTCAGTAAATTTATTAGCGTTTTCATTTTTCGCGAACATCCCTTTAATAAATGCAGTTCTGATTGAAAGCACGTATAAGATTTAAATCTTACGTGCTTTTACTTTTTTGGCGTAAAACTTCTTCTGAAGCTTTCCTTTACTTTTTATTTTTAATTTTCGTCTATGCAAACAAACAAACAGATATTCAGACAGACAATACAAATATATCCAAATATATGTAAATAATGCTCAATTCATCATAGTATATAGTAAGAGTATATATTTTTACTAGAAGTTTTGAATATATATTTAGGCTAAATATAATTTTAACAGAATAAAAAAACTTTAAATAAAGATTATAATTGTTCCAGGTTACTCCGTACATTGGTTTTCTTTGCATTTATTAACTTGTTTCATTAAGTACAATTTCAAGCATTAAAGTATACAAATGTCATCTAGAAACTTGGAACGCTGTTTGCTACTCTTTGCTCTATAGAACTGTATTCAACAGTATTTAGAAGCCAGCTTTGGCTTTATTTAGAATTTAAAATTAGTAAATATCAACTTAATTTAGAATTTTTAATTAGTCAATATAAACTCAATTTAGAATTTAAAACTAGTCAATATCAACTCAAATTAGAATTTAAAATGAGTCAATATCTACTCAATTTTAGAATTTAAAACTAGTCAATATATCAACTCAATTTAGAATTTAAAATTAGTCAATATCAACTCAGTTTAGAATTTAAAATGAGCCAATATCTACTCAATTTAGAATTTAAAACTAGTCAATATATCAACTCAATTTAGAATTTAAAATTAGCCAATATCAACTCAATTTAGAATTTAAAATGAGTCAATATCTACTCAATTTAGAATTTTAATTAGTCAATATCAACTCAATTTAGAATTTTTAGTTAATTATTATATCAACTCAATTTAGAATTTTTAATTAGTCAATTTCAACTCAATTTAGAATTTTTAGGTAATTAATATCAACTCAATATAGAATTTTTAATTAGTTAATATCAACTCAATTTAGAATTTAAAATTAATCAATATCAACTAAATTTAGAATTTTCAATTAGTCAATATCAACTCAATTTAGATTTTAAAATTAGTAAATATCAACTCAATTTAGATTTTAAAATCAGTCAATATCAACTCAGATTAGAATTTAAAATTAGTCAATATTAACTCAATTTAGAATTTAAAATCAGTCAATATCAACTCAATTTAGAATTTAAAATTAGTAAATATCAACTCAGTTTAGAATTTAAAATTAGTCAATATCAACTCAATTTAGAATTTAAAATCAGTCAATATCAACTCAATTTAGAATTTAAAATTAGTCAATATCAACTCAATTTAGAATTTAAAATCAGTCAATATCAACTCAATTTAGAATTTAAAACTAGTAAATATCAACTCAATTTAGAATTTAAAATCAGTCAATATCAACTCAATTTAGAATTTAAAATTAGTCAATATCAACTCAATTTAGAATTTAAAATCAGTCAATATCAACTCAATTTAGAATTTAAAACTAGTAAATATCAACTCAATTTAGAATTTAAAATCAGTCAATATCAACTCAATTTAGAATTTAAAATCAGTCAATATCAACTCAATTTAGAATTTAAAATTAGTAAATATCAACTCAATTTAGAATTTAAAATTAGTAAATATCAACTCAATTTAGTATTTTTAATATTCAATTATAATTCCATATTTAATTCAACCTTTGGTAGTCTTAAAGTTCTACAAATTTAAATTATCAATTTCAAGACACAAGAAAACAATTTTTTTATTGAATAAAGACTTTTTATGACAGAAGAATCTTTTAATTAAAGGGACTGTAAGTGTAATTTGTATTATTGAATAAAGACTTTTTATGACAGAAGAATCCTTTAATTAAAGGGAGTGTAAGTGTAGTTTAAAGTAATCCTCTATGCAGAGAGGGGAATGTGTGATTTACAATTGTACCCACCTTTGACTAATCATCGAGGGCAGACAATTTGTGTGTTTATCTCTAAAGATGTGTTCAAATTCCCGGAAAATTGGAGTTTACACTACTGTACAGTATAGATCCCAATACAGCTGACGTTACATATTTTTTTTAAAAATCACAAATGTTCTTCGTCCAACTTGCTTCTTAAAAATTTGAACAATAGTATTCATTTTCTACGACTTGAAAGTCTTATATTTCTTAAATATAAAGCAGTTTTCAACCAAATTGTGTTTAACAATTACAAACGTTTAAATAAGGATAAGTGTTACTGTTGTGAATCGGACATGCCAGTCTACAAATAGAGGGTCACTTGGAATTACACCAACAGTCCAATTATTTGAGCAGCAATATTTTAGATGTTTGTTTTGAATCTTCCTGACAGAAACAATCCCAAGAACTGACGAGGGTCAACCCAGACCGAAATATATTTTCAATAAAATGTTGAAATAACATCTACTTTATTTACTCTAAATAGGTTTGGTTCATCATTATCACCGATTTTTCAATTTTAGATGTTTGTCAGTATGTCGAGCACCTCGTATCAATGATTTAGATGATGAAGATGAAGATGAATACACAAACAGGTTCAAATTAATATACAGTGGGGCACATACAACTGTGACAGGGTTACCCACAAAGGATGAGACTTCAGAGACAGGCGAATGTAGGAAAATCTATATTGGAAACTCAGCTTTGCTTGGAGACAAAGTTTTCTTTATAAGAGTCAATCCTATTCAACTAGATCTTTTAACCCAAGCTAAAAATTACCATTTCCGTGGTATTACAGTTTTCTCTAATCAAACAGAATTGAGGTAAATCGGTTCAGGGGTTCCTGAGCTACGATCGGACATACAAACAAACAGACAAACAGATATTACTACTCTATACAAATACTATCATGGGAACCCAGCTTTACCTGGAGCATAAACTTTTCTATGAAAATAAAACTACTCCACTTAGAGCTGTCAAACTCAAACCATGCTTAAATAAGAACGTTATCAGGGTTCAACCAAGTTCCCCAATCAAAATTTTAAACAAATTTCTTTAAAAAAAAAAAAAAATAAGGAAATGAGCTGAATCAAGAGACTTTATAAATAACGTATGAATCCCTCTCCACTAAACCCCACTATTTATTCCGCCAGAGTACAATACAAATACTGCAGAACACACCGGTTCGTCAATTTTGAAAAGGTTTGTTAATAAAAAATTAATTATTTAAAGAAATTATTTAAACTTAACAAATCTGTCAAGATAAGAATCAGCGGCCAAATTATTGTGACTTAAAGTATGCCAAGTAGAATCTCGAACCTCATGTTCATTCAAGAAACGTATTCAGGGCCAATTTCTATATTAAAATTCTAGAAAAAAATAAACTGTAGCTGTAAAGAAATATATAAGAAAGCACCATGAACTAACAAAACAGTATTGATTCTCAGCTTGCTACTGGAATTTTCTACAAAAATCAATCTAAAGCGTGGATCGGAGAAAAAAGTGACATATAATTAATTTTATTCTATAAATTACCGACAAATAAAGCCAATAGAAAAAAAACACTTTTTATACAACATGCTTAAAATTGTGGAAAGAATGGCCGGCTATACATTTTTAAAAACTGTTGTTTTCAATTGATTGGTGCACGGACGATTTTGATACATTATTTAACTTTTAATTTTTGATGAGGCTTCTGGGGGTTGTAAAAACAAATTTTTGATTCAATCTGTTGCCCACGGACGGTTCTGTACCATGTAGCTACCTTTACATAAACATTTGGGCTCACACAAATTTTGTGTAGTATCTAAAAGGATATCATTATTATCATTGGAACTTTCTAATATGATATGATATGATATGATATGTTCCATCCGGGGGAAATGGGCCGGGGGGGGGGGGGTGAGGTTATGTATCAAAAATCATCCAATATCCCTTCCCGACATTCCACATATAACCATCCATCCTTCATTCCGTATATTTAGACTAAACAATATGAATCATAAAACACTCGAGATTATTATATCTCAGGTTTGATATGATATCCACATACTAAAAATATAATATATACAGACATATATACATATAAACTGTGCAATATAATATATGCATATACAATCAAAGAGAATAGAATATATATAATTTAGAATCCCTCGGTATGAATTTTGTCAGTTCCTTTCAGCCTGAAAGGGAGTTCAAAGTGTACAAATCATGTAAATGTTCACAAATTATACGCAGTACATTAATCAGTATGTTCCCTAGACTATCCATTTCAATTTCGAATTTTTTAAGCTGTTAAATAAAGTTTATAAAATGAATTAGGTGAATAAAAAACATCAGTTGATTTATAGTTATAACGGAAAATCATCGTTTGTAAAGTGAAAGGCATAGAGTCTATGTGAAATGATCATTGGT